TTCACTAGGGGGAAAAAGGCAACTCTAGAATTATGACAGCTAATATGGATTGAGCATTTATTATGTTATAGGTACTAAACTAAGTGCTTTTTTACGTTATTCAATCTCTACAACCTTATCAGATGATTCTATTATTATACCCATTTTGTAGGTAAGCAAACTGAGGCTTAGGAAAATTAGGGGACTTGCCCAGCATCACACAGCAAGTAAATACTTGGAGCTAGTATTTGAACCCAGGCAGTCTATCCCCAGAATCCATGCTCCTACCAAAATGTTCTATAGCCCCCTGATGATCTACTACTCAGGCGGTGTGATGGAAAGAGCGCTAGCTTAGGAGTCACAAGATTTAGATTCAAACTGTGCAACCTGCACAAGTCACTTAATCCACCTGAGCCTCGATTTCCTCTTCTGTCATACAGGGGTAATTCTCCTGTACCTACTGCAGAAAATTATTTGAGGACTAAATAAGAAAATGTGACTTTTGCTCACTCATGCAAATCTTTAAAAAAATCTAATAAAATCATGTAACTTTCCAAAATGATCCCCAGATGCATACACACACACACAATGGTGCAAATAATTTCAGGAGAACAAAGACTTCCTGCAGCTCATTCGCAGACTCCTGGCCAAGAACCCCAGACACATACGGGAGGACCAGATAGTGCTCTAGAGAAGCCCGATCTAATTACCTCAGTTTTGAAGGTTCTTTTCTGTAGACATGGAACTTGAGTCCAGTCTGGAGATCCAAATTTCATTGGCCAGTTGATTTTGGGAGATGGCTTTATTTCTGGGTTGTATGTGCCAGGGCTAGAAATAAAAAAAAAATACATAACATCATGTATAATGAGTTAGTGACCATGTACGAATGTCATCACTACCACAGCTGTCCCTGATCTAGGCCTAACTCCTTAGGAAAAGGCAGCAGGCTGATGAACTTTTCAATGTCAGACAAGCATAAGGTTCCTGCGCCTGTTAATATCTTTCTAATTAGGTGTTAGTGTGAAAGATCCCTAGTCTTGACATCCAGCAAGGGTAAAAATTTACTCTAGTTTAAAAGATATTTCTGCAACTCAGTATCTTTAGCTGAGGGACCAGAAGATCCCGGAAGTGGGTGATGAGCACAAGCTACCACAGTGACGAATTAGTGCCGCCCATGATTTCAAATTGGGGATAAAAGTGCAGTGATAATTTAATCTGTCAGTAATCTAGGGACAGCCACACAGAACCAGTTCAATTTTCTTAACAGTGAGGTTATTTTATAGTTGCTTTTCTTCAAAACACTGTAGCCATTGGTGTAGATCTTTGCTGTGGTGGACATAATGTTTACGGTGTATGTGGGGGTCAAGATTCAACGCTTTCCCCTACACACTGCAACCTTGAGAAAGTTACAGTCATTCTCTGATCCTTGGATTTCTCACCAGTAAAAGAAAGACCTTGACCCTTTGCCCTACAATTCCATCCATTCTGAAGGGCTTCCTAAAGCACTTGGAATACACCACTTGACATACAGGCTATGTACTCTAGCCCCGTCCCTCCTCCTCTGTCTCTTTTCCTCCTTGCTCACCACATTACAGCCTTTGCATGTGCTGTGCCTTCTGCCTGGGAAGCTCTGGGCCCAGGTCCTCACAACAATGGTTCAGTCTTATTCTGGTTTCAGATCAAGTGTCCTTTCCCCAGAAAGACCTTTCTTGACAATCCTTGATAAAGTAGCCTCCAGTCCATCACTCCGTTATATCATCATCCTATTTTATTTTCTTCATAGCACATCACTAGGTCACCATACTTCCTGGTTTGCCCATGACAATCCTAGCTTATGCTAGCTACTGTCTTGGTATAATTATTAATAAGGTTCCCTTTCACTCTCAGAAGTGTCACAGTTGGGCTAATAAATTATATGGTCACTCTCCTTACTACTACTAATGTTTTCCTGTTTATTGGCTTCTCATCTGTCTAGATCAGGGGTCGGCAAACTTTTGAGACAGAAGAGCCAATCCTGTTCCTCACAACAATTTAAAAATGATTTGAGAGCCATAAAACAAATGAAATCACCATTATGTGAATAATATCCTTTAAAAATTTTATAAATGAAACTATGATAGTTTTACTTTCATTTTCGATTTTGCTTCAGAGACACATGTACGTACCCAAAGAGCGGCATGTGCCTCGCAAGCCTCAGTTTGCCGACCCCTGGTAGGGGTCCACAATGTAGGCTCCAAGAAATCAGGAGCTTTGTGTAATGAGTTTAATGCAAAATCTCTGGAACCTACAAAATTGTGTGGCACATTTATAAATATTTATTAAATGAATCATTGTGATTTATAATTCTATGATACCAGAGATCATATGATACCAGGAAGGCAAGAGGTTGAATCTTTAAAGATAAGTGGTTATTTAGTTGGCATGTTTTTCAAAATTTATTATTTTTTAATATTTATTTTTAAAATTGAGATATAATTGACATACAACATTGCTATTAGTTCTAGGTGTACAACATAATGACTGGATATATGTACGTATTGTGAAATGACCACCAAAATAGGTTTAGTTAACAAGCATCACCATACATAATTACAAATTTTTTTCTTGTGATAAGAACTTTTAAGATCTTCTCTCTTAACAACTTTAAAATATACAATACAGTATTATGAACTTTAGTCACCATGCTATAAATTACATGCCCAGGATTTACTTATCTTATAACTAAGAGTGTGTACTTTTATTTATTTATTTTTTATCACTAGTTTCAGGTGTACAAAACAACATAGTGATTAGAAATTTACATACCTCACAAAGTGATAACCTCAACAAATCTACTACCCATCTGACACTGTACATAATTATATNGGTATCAGAGATGGTGTGGGAGGGATTCCTGGGATCTGCCCATGTTAATACAAACTCTCTGCCTAATTCACCACTATGGTCTCCTCAGCTGCCAAACACAAAATCTTCATCTGTTTCGTCAATGACTTCCTTTGTCAACGTGGATTTGATGTCATTGACCTGAATATGAAATATCCAGGGTCCCAGGGAAGCCCACCTGAGCACAAACAACAATTTACTACCTTGATTAATGTGGGAATGGAGCACCAGCTCTGGGTCTTCTTGTGGAGATGAGGTGTCTTAGTGAGTTTCTGAGAGCTGCATTTCCTGGAGACAGCAAAGGGTGGTGCCCTCAGGCAGTATGCTGGTTAGGTTATATGGAGTTGCAGGCAATAGAAACAGACTCCCTGGCTGATATAAGCCAAAGAGAAAGTGTTGGAAGGATATAGGTATCTGAAGGAATCCAAGGGAGAAATTCTTGAATTAAGAAGGTGGAACTATTCATTATACCATTTATTCAGTAAGTATTTATTGGGCAACTACTGTGATCCAGACCTGTGCCTCACACTGGAGATAGAGCAGTGAACAATACAAACATGATCCCTACTCCTGTGGGGCTTACAATACAGTGGAGGATATGGGGGGTGGGGGAGAGAGAGAGAGAGAGAGAGAAGGGAGGGAAGGAGGGAGGGAGGAAAGCAAGCATATAATTGCAAATGGTGATAAAAGCAATGATGGACTAAAATAGGATGGTCAGGGGAGTCTTCTCAAAAGAAATGAATGATATTTGAGCTAAGATATGAAGCATTAAAAGGAACCAGGCATACAAAGGATAGGAAGAAGAATTTTCTAAGGAAATTGTAACAGCACAGCCAAGGTTTGGAGGCAGGAAAGAACTTAGCATGGCTATACAAAAATGCCAGGCTAGAGCTTTAAAAGGGAGAGTGAGGTCACAGTAGGCAAGACAGCTCCTAGACCCTCTGCCAGGAGTTCTGGGGCTATTTCTCTAGAATTGTCATTAAATGACTTGGATTTAAGGACTCTTAGTGCCTATATCTCCTTGTCCCAATTTATACCTTACTAGGACCTATCTCTATATTTCAGGGGCTACTTTCCAGAAATGGGGGAATTGCTATGAGCTAGAAACCAGCTCAAAAGGTGCTTAGTATGGGAAAGAAATAATGAAGACAGCCATTAAAATCCACCCTCTTTTCTCTCTCTAGGAAATGCTAGAGGCTTTTGAAGAAGAGACTAAAGAAAACAGGATACCCCAGACTGCTGATCACAGCAGTTGTATCTGCTGGCAAAGGGACTATTCGTGGAGCATATGAAATTGCAGAGACTGGGAAGTGCATACATTGGATCTCCTGGGGCCCCCAAATCCCAGAGCAGAGATTCCTATACTTTTCGGTGGAAAACATCCCAAGTAGTTATGTAAACATAATGTTGACAAAGTTGGTGCCTGCAGTTGCCAAAGAGGTTTGGGGACTTTGTGCCTCTGGAATAAGGTGGTGGCCCCTTTAAATTGTCACTGTGGTGGGCTCTGGGGAGAAGAGGAATGAGATTCAAGACCATGGCAAATCCTGATAATAGCAATCCTCATTAGCAGTTTCCTTGGGAAAAAGCTGTAACATCAAGAAAGCTATATTGGTGAAGCAATAGGAGAGCTACCCACTGTGATTCCCATGGCCCTAGAGATGTGTGTGTCTGAGACACACACTCTTGGACCCCACGTTTCCTAACCTTCTGCTCTGGGTTTGTCCTGTTTCTTTCCAGGAGGTAGAGGAGGCTTCCTGTCTATACTATGGAGGTCACAGAAGATAACCTGCTTCCATGCCCGGACTGAGCTGAGTTGCCGCAGAGCTGCCAACAGGTGGCAGGATAGCTCAGCTAAAGAAAAAGAAAAAAAAGATAACTTGCTTGCTGGAGGCCCCCAGGAAACCACATGGGTGGGGCCATATGGATATCAACTTGACATCATGGGTTTCCTACTGAAACCATTTCTTGCTCTTAAATTGCATGTAAGAAAATACCCCAGGATCCTAATGGCTCAAAATTTCTGTTTCAGGCTCCTTGATTTCATCAATGTGATGACCCATGGTGGCTGGGACTGATGGACAGGACACAACGGTGCCCTGCACATAGGATCCAAGGATCAAGGCGACATACATTATTTTAACCATGTGAGAAAGAAAAGCTTCAAACCATAGGAAGCGGGAAGATTCGGGAGAGGCTTGGTTGTTGGGAAAGAGACTTTCTCTTTGGAGGGACAATTAGCTAGACTTTGTTAATCAAATGGGACAAACACTGGTGAAGAAATAACGTCCATGTTCCTTTTCTCAGGAATATTCCATGAAGTACTGGAAAGACAGTGGGGTCTCTGCAGAGAAGGTCATCATGGGGCTCCCCACCTGTGGGAGGGCATTGCCGCTGACTTGGGACTTCTGAACCTCAGTCTGTGCCCTGGTCTCAGGAGCAGGGTCACCTGGTCCTTACATGCATGAGGCTGGCTTCTGGGCTTACTACGAGGTAACCAACATGGCTAATTCAGGCTGAAAATGAACTGGGGAAAATACTTTCATTCTCCAAGTCATCTTGCTACCCTTTTGCGCTAGCATTCCTATATCCTGGGTAGCTCTCATAGCTCTAAGCATAAGCAGCCTGGGAAAAGGCAGGTTGAGGGCTGTGGAACACTTTTTTACTTTAAAAAAAAACCAATCCGAATTTCCTTTTTGGTTTTTGAAGCGTCTGGCACCATTTTCCCCACAACCCCAAAGCCATACACCATTGTATTACATCCATGTCAATAGCTGGAGAAGAATTTCAATAGTCTAGCCTGGGGATGCAAATAGCTTGATTTCCCTTCTAACTGGAATTGATTGCTTTGACTCAAATCCTGTGCTGAAGATTCAGAGACTGGTGGATGAATAATTTGCAGTGTTTGCCATCCCACTGAACAC